GTAGTTGTCACCATATAATGTAATATAATATTATTTAACCGTAATAATATTGATATTACTGTCTTCTGTCATCAATACTTCTCGTCTTCTTGTATTGTTAATACAATAACTTTTCTTCTTATCACTTTGTTACTAATTGATATATAACATAATTAGCACACACACTTTGTCACAACACCAGTAGAAAGATTCTGAGTTTATTTCAGTTCTCAGCAATTCACATACACGTACAGACAATCACGACGCCTTGGCCGGAAGTAAGACAAACTTCAATCTTGAAGAGCTGTACCAAACTTAACTAAATTCAAATTTCCCTCACATATTATACAAAACAATCTTTGGTATGAAAACCAATCACAAACAGTCCTATATTCAGATGATCTCATGCACAACGTTTACCCATAATTTTACAGCGAAATATGTTACAAAAACTTTTTTTTAAATTTTTTTATTTTTTATTTTTTTTATTATCATTATCCGGTAAAAACAATTTAAAGTACTGTACACATTTTTTTTAAATTCAATAATTTCTATGTTCAAGTTAATAATTTGTATGTTACAACAAAATGAGCAAGTTACTTTCAAAATTATTTTACATCTTGTTTGTTTTTTGTTTGGTTATTTTCAGGAGACAATACAACTTTAAATAAACTGTTCACATTGTTCGCTTGGAAAAAATGAAATGTAGTAATATGCCTATTTGAAAAGTCAAGCCCTTATCACAGCAAGTTAAATGACTGATAGTTTTGCTTTTAATATGTTAATGCTGTGGAGCTCTCCTCTAAAAATGATATTTATTCAATTTCCGTGATAATAAATATGTATTCCATATTTATATCTCGATTGTGATTCCATATTCGATTATTAAAATGGTCCACATTAATAATTTTCTGCTTTCAACTGAACTGAAATTCAAGATGTTTGAAATAGGGCTATATTTAGAGCTCTCAAAACTACATAGCAGCATTAGGCCGTTTATGCCTTTTGAAAGATTGTTACCCTTAAGCTGTTGTTATGTTCGTTATGACTTAATTTTATGCACAGGCATGACGTCGATGAGTTGGTCAGAAACCGAAAGATACTTTCCACAGTACTCGTAAGAATAGTGCAAAGTTCTTTTTAAAAAAACAAAAAGAGATCATCCTGTAATTTCCTCTATAGTTCTATAGAGATATCGTAGTTTGAGGATGTACGCTTTGTTTTTTAAATGTAATGTTGAAAACTTCCCTACATGCCTTCTTTATTGCCGAATTAGTAACGGCACAAAGTATAGGATTTACTATAGAGTTACTTATCCAAATGATATCGGTCATCACTCGAAACACGGTGAGAATTGATAGGTTAAACTTAGAGGCTGAACTTCGTATGACTATAAAGAAGACCTTTGGAAGGAAGCATCCGTAGTATGCAATGATGATCAATATAGTTACCTTGACGGCTTTGAGTTCATTTCTGGTTGCCGGGTCCGTTGGCTGACTTTTTGACATTTTCAATGCAACATTCATTATTTTTATTTGCATCAGAAGTTGAGAAATACCAATGACAAGCAGACATACCCGAACAAAGGACCTGCCGCTGGAAAGCTCTGAACACCAACCAGAAACATTATGGTACCTGCAGACGCACAGCTCACAAACACCATCCGTTTTGCAGTAATATTCAGATACCGATACGGATACACAATCGATATATATCGATCAACAGTCAAAAGCAAATGAAATGAAATAGACATCGATAAACATGATGTAATAACCAGTATGTTTGGGTCACTATAAATAGCTTCTAATTGCTTCCCAGTTACAACATTCGGGATGTAGACTGGTACACCTACAAAGCCTGTTACAAAGTCACTGAACGCAAGTCCGATGATCAAGACGTTGGTCGGCTTCTCAAGAAGCTCGCGTTTGCGTATCATAGAGACAATCATAAGAGCATTCAGTGTTAAAATCAGAACAATTATTAATAAACACAAACCGATAATGAATGCTGAAGTGAGAGGTCCGTAGGCAAACCTAGATGCAGTAATGTTGACTGACATGGTGGTCGTCTGCAAAAAAAAAGCATAGGACGCTTATTATATTGTAAAATGTTGTTAATTTTTAAAGTATTTCAAACATCATATGATTTGCATGGTTTCTAACAGCAGAAACGTGACTAATGAAGGTTAATAGAATTACCGGAAATACTTGGTCCAATAATGGTTAATTTATTTGATCTTTAGAATAATTGTTGGTGGTTTTCTAAAAAAGGAAAGAACATAACAGCAACAACGAGAGCATTGCAAGGGTGGTTCCACAAACCAAACATAGAAACCAGGGGTGAGCAGTTTGATCCAATCCACCATTAAAACATTACATTATTGTCATAACATACGGTTGAAGATATAGTGTAGCAAATGCTATTAAACATGTTAAATGCACTCTTACCTGATGTCATGCTTTGAAACACAGTTAGTTGTTTTCTTCTAAACGTCTTGCGTCTTTTATACTTACTAGCTTTAGTTTATTATTGCCATGGTAAAAATATTTGTTTACGATAATAGGCCAATTTTGAAAAATCGTCTTAATATTAAATACTGTTTGGCTTAAATTTGTTTATACTATAGTAATAAATAATGGATTTCGAGGGCGAATAATTGGTTATAATTTAGCCTAATTTGATCTTAAGGCAGTAGCCTAATCAATTGCGTGTGGTAGGCTGTAGAACGTAAGTGGTTCTGAAGAAAAAGTTGTGTTGTTGAGGTTGTTCTAATTTTCATCTTCAGGAGAGTAATGCTTTTAAGGGACGTCGATGAGTAGGCCTTTTCTCAACAACACAATGGCTCTTTTCAGAACCATATATAGGCCTACATGTAAGAATTTACTGAATAATATAGAACAGGTAGCTGTCATTAAAAAATGCTTTTATTAAAATGATTTAACATTTTGCTGTGCTAATTTATCAACGGTATATTTTATTCAAATAATTTGTACATAAAACAGTACCATCTTGCAGAAATAAATCTGAATTACAAAACTGAGTTGTTAAATATTAATAAAAACAGGAAATCACAGACAAACCACATCATAACAGCAGCGATAAAAATGTGAATCAAGGTATAATAATAATGATAATATTAATAATAATAATAATAATAATAATAATAATAATAACAATAGTGACATACAGATTATATTACTATTAACAGTAGTAGTAGTAGTAGTAGTAATAATAATAATAATAATAACAATAATGACATACAGATAATATTACTATTAACAGTAGTAATAGTAGTAGTAATAATAATAATAATATTAATAATAATAATAATAATAATAATAATAATAATAATTATCCAGTTATAATCCAGTTATTGTCTATTATTCCATCATGACAATAACAATTACTATCAATTATAATAATACCTTAACTACCGTACTACTACTAATAATATGAATATTAATAATAATATTAATTTAACTTTTTTGCTTCAATTGTCTATTTTTAAATAGGACCTAATCGCTAACTTCGAGGGCTAATAGAATTTAGAGAATCGCAGTGTATGACGTCAGTGGCTGTGCATATTAGCTAACTTTCATATGGTACCATGGACACGTGGAATCAGTAGTTTTTACCTCCTGTGTAAAGAAAAGTAATGTACATAATTAAGTATATTTATTATTGACATTGAAATTAACTATCATTTCTGTAAACGTTGTGTTGTAGTTGGTAGAACTGTGATGCTGGTACAGTATTATGTGTGTAGTGCGAGAAATTTTTTGTTGTAAATAAAAGAGCAACCAATATACTAAACAAGTTTGACAGATCGATGTCAACTGTTGTCTGTTGTCATTAATCTTTAACTAAAGTATTTCTATCAACATATTCACATGGTTCATAACAAAAACGTGACAACCAAAAGTGTGTGACGATTTACCGTCCAGGCGTGTGCACATATCTGGAAGAAATATACCGTAGCCCCATTCTTTCAGGTGCCTTACGATTATTGACATGCTGGCTTTTTTTTTCTTTTGGTGGGGGGAGTTCATTTATGAGAATAATTTTCAGGCTAATCTAATCTTTCGTTTTCAAGTCTCTCAAGAGACGGGAGGGTGACGTCATTTATTCTTGTCAGTTATACATGAGTGCCCCTTTTCTGTCTGGACCCCATCCTACACATATCTGGGCCCATCCCAGTACAGCTTCGCGAAAGGCGGCCGGAGGTGACTTTTTCGCGACTTCTAATTATGGATATTTGTCACGTTTTTGTTATAATAAATATACTTAATTATGCACATTACTTTTCTGTACACAGGAGGTGAAAACTACTGTTATCGCACATAATAATATCAATGATAACTCGAAGTTGTGGCATACAGAGTAAATGTGAAAATAAGAAAAAAAAAATGAAAAAACGTATATACGGTAATTGTTTGATAAAAAAATTTAAAAAAATTGAGCCGCCTACTTTCCAAATGGGAAATTATGCTCAAAAACGAGTATAAAAATAAATTGGGAAATGCTCTGGTTAAAGAAAATTGTAAATATTAAAGAAAGGAAACTTCTCTGCAAAATGCCAATGTTGTGATAATAACGAAATTGACGATGAGCTGCATATGTTTTGGGATGTGATTGTGACTCGACCACGTGAAGCCGTTTTGAATTTATATTTATGGTGTTTAAAAAAACAAATTATTTTGCAAAATAGCGTATCTTCCTTGACAGTGAAAACAAATGGTTGATTTTAATAACAAAAACCAACAAAACGTATTTACAATAATGTAAAAACGTGTGTGTATGGTAGTGCCGCCACTGTACTTACCTGGAAGGAAGCAAATAGTTGAAGGTCAAAATAAAACATTGCTTTATAAGATTTTTTTTTTTTATAAAGGGGTGGGGTCATTATAGATTCTGGCACCTGGAGGTCGGGGCCCAGGTTCAACGAACCTGTTGAACCTGCGGTAGGTACGCCACTGAAGTTCATTAGTTGGGATGCAGGAAATTCGAGAGGGGGGTGTTCGCCAAGAAAGGGGGGTTTGCTAGAAAAGGGGACTTGACCGAGCCATAAAAACCCATTATCTATGATTATTATTTGTTTTAATGCTGTCCACGTGTATGCTTATAAAGACACGTACCGGTACGTTTTCGACAGCAATATAAGCCTACTCTATTTGTTTATATTTCTACAGGCTTCAGTAGTGAAAGCGAGCAGTGCGTCATAATGACGGTGTGTTTGGTCAAAATGTAAAGTAAAACGAAATTAGCACTCGCCACATAAAACTGGACCGCTGCTCTGTTTATTATGGGTAAAAATATAAGATACAAGTAGACCTACGTTTGTTTTTGTAGGAAGCCGCTAACTGTGCTTGTTCGGAGTAGGTTGGTTTTACAGAGCCAGTACCATTTGGCGGAAATGCATGTGAATGATGACCACACTGTTTGCAAACAAGTGTGAGATGATGCTTAAAAATAAATGTAAATTAATTAGTCTCTTATATTGTTCAGCATTAAAAAAAAAAAAAAAAAAAAAAAAACCATTCCTTTATGGAACGCCAAAAGGACAAAATAAATTGGCAGCAGCGCAAAACTGAGAGTCAGCAGTGCAAAACTGAGAGTCCTTGTTAATCGTTGAAAAACATACCGTACTGCATTAGGAGCCCCGATCACTATCTTTCCATTAGTCGATGCAGCATATTCCTTTAGATCTGAGAATACAGAAAGATAGTTAAAGTACGTGCTTATTGGTTCAATTCGTGATGAGCACAGTGATTTTTTGTTTAGAAGCAGGACTTTGAAAGTTTAGAATAACGGATAGTCCGTCACAAACGGTGAAAAATGTGCACAAACGTTATGGGATTGGGCCTATAATTTTTGATTACCACGAATAGGCCTATATTTTATGACTTACTTTAACTCTCGTAAGTTATGTACAAGTGTTTTGCAACACTTCCTTATTTGGGTTGAATTCGCAGTCACTCGGCACCATCCGTCATCGCACAGGTAACACAGCAAGCTCTAATCACCGGTGAATTATTACTAAGCTCGAAAACAAGCCAATCGAGATGTAGTTAACTATCATGTCCAATCCCGTCAGCCGTTTATCACCAGGAAATGTACCGCAGGGGTGTGGCACACGCGTGAAGCACGCTTTGTTTACGCAAGATTTCGCACTTGAAGTGGGCCTGTACACAAACTCTTAATGCGACAGCAGGTAGAAGAGGACCACCCTGGTGATGATTAGGTCAAGGCTAGTCAGCTATCCCTAGGTGAAGGAATTATTCTGCTTGCTTGGTTTCTATAGTGACGATTATAAACTTGATAGGCCTACATGCGAGAGCATAATATCGATTTCGTTGCATAACTTTTTGGAACATGCGGCCTAATAATGGCACGTGTGCGAGAAAGACTTGGTTCTATCCATGGAATGACAAATTACTATAAAAGTGACCATACTCTTTAAGATTAACAGTTATTGTGATCAAAGCAGCTAATGAAATAAATACTCAGTGTAGTAATGGAATTTGTATAATAAATGGTAAGATTTCGCCAAATACAAAACTATGTACTGTAGTCTACAAGGTAAATTGATTATAGGCCTTTTATTATTTTAAAAAATATTACGGTATAGATAGGCCTATAAAAAATAGTATCTTCATCAAGAATTTAAATTATTAAATTAAAAAAAATATATAGTAAAAATATGTTTATAACTTCTGTTCGAATATTTTTCGCTGGAAGTTAGTAACTTTTGATAATTTCCTTCTATTTATTTGTATTTCACATTTCGACGACAGTCCAACAGGATGAAATATCCATTTACTGTAATTTATTGATTTAACGAGAATAGGCCTACATCTTTAAGGGGGTCTACACTCACTCCATTGTTTAATGTGAAGTGTTTACGTGAATGTTGATATTGTCAACACATTAAATAGATCAGGTCCCCGTCCAATATTCAAAGGCCGCAAATTTAACCAAAGTCCCATCGGCATAAATTAAAAGAGGTCTACAGAAGATACGGTAGTCGGTCATTCGTCCAAATTTTGTAAGTAGGCCTACAGAATAAATAAAACGTTTCGTAGTGTCTGAAACATAACAAATGACCAATCAGAACACGGCAGGGGACAGGGGCGGATCCAGAAATGTCCAAAAGGGGGGGCCGGAAGGGGAGGCCGAAAGTTGGGCCGATTGAGACAACACTGTCGTAGGGGGTCCGGGGCATGCCCCCGCGAAATTTTTGTGTTCTAGACGCCCGAACATAACATTTGAGGCATTCTGGGCTATCATTTTTTTCTTTTTCTCACTTTTTTCCTTTTTTTCCCTTTTTTTTTACCTCCCAAAAGGGGGGCCGGGGCCGGGCCGGCCCCCCTAAATCCGCCCCTGCTTGTGGCAAGTCTATCTGTGGCCATGTATGCACGGATACTAACCTTGCTCATGTGGCCCAAGTTACCATAATTTATAAAAAAAACAAAATTTAAAAAA